TATTTTGAGAGAGCAAAGGGGTTTTATACTGCAGCTGCAGCCATAGTATACAAAATATAATGTTGCTGGCTACTTCACAAGCTGTATATATCTATTTTTTTAATTTGTCCTCCTTTTCATGGTCTTTAAACCTCATTTGTGTGTGTGACATTCTCTTCTTAAAGGATTTGTTTGTCTTTCATTTCACTGTGAAGTTTTTATTAGTGTGATTTCATGATAGTTTATAATCTGCTTTTATGAGAAGTCTGGGTGTTTGTCTACATATTTATTTTGTAATAAGAAATTCAGTTCTTCTTTTAAGAGGCATGTTATTTTGTGTCAGGAGTATTATTTTTTTATTTAATGTGTATTATCTCAGAATTATAGGTACCTAGGCAATGCTCCCTTTAGTGAAATATCTTTTTCTCCAAGCACTGCTGATTGCTACATAACTATTTGTGTTGATTTGGGGTTTTTTTATCCTCCAAAGATTGGTAAGAAGTAAACAAGGAATGACAAGGAGTAACACGGAGCAATGAGGGTTTTGGGGTCTTTTCTGTAATAGTTACCCTGTGATTTCAGCAGCTTGACTTTCCCACTGTTGGCTTTTTGTTAGCGTTGAGTAGCCATAGCATTAGTCATATAATACAGGACTGCAGTATATTGTCTTTTACTGTGATCAGTTACAAAATTCCTATAATCTTCTGGGGAGACCAAGGTTTAAAATAAAAGGATATTCTGTTCTGAGGAAAGGAGGCATTAACAAATTATGTAATGTCTCCCCTGATCTAAGATGCAAGATTGCTCTTAGTCACATGGGAGAGAATGTCTCCCCATCCTAAATTTATCCTTAGATAGCAATCGTGGAGGAGGAACCTTATTTGAGTAGATGTACCTTGTTAGCACATATCCTAAGACTGGAGGGAATTCCTGGATACGTGCCATCATAAGAAATTTTGTCATACAGTAAATGAAGCTTTATCCTAATGCTATGCAAGTTGTTTGCCTCTTGATTACTCATACTGAAAGGCCATTCCTGTAAATATTCCTAACTTCCAGCCTAAACTGAGTCATACCACGTACCCATTTGTTCTTGTGTTAGTGTTCCTTAGATTTAATAGGCCTTCTCTGCTCCTGCTGTCAGCCTGTAATGCATTTAGAGAGAAAAATCATGTCTTCTCTCAACCTTCACGTGGAGAGCTGAGCTCCTTGTTTTCCCTGGTGATTCTTTTCTGCATTTCTTCCTTTTTGAATTCAGCTGTCTTGAACAACAGGGAATGGCAGACCACTGCATTTCACAGGATAACCAGTGCCATACTAGATCCACATGGCAGAACTCACATAAAATAACCAGATCCACTCTCTTCCCAAATCTGTTTTTATTCTGTACATCACAAAGTGGGATTAACATCTTATGTGGTTATATCTTTATATATCTTACATCTTTATATATCTTTAGCTCTTAGGATTTGGCTTCTTACACTGAAGTGTTATTATATGTAGAAATAAAAACAAATAAATCTTACCAATAAAAAAATTCCTTAAAAATGTGAACAGAAGATGTGGCACCATTTTAGTCAAAAGTTCCTAATGAGAAAATCCTTACACAGTCTGTGCAGTGCATCACATGAGATGATAATAATATGAAATGCTCGGTTGCCTTGAAATCCCAATATGGCATACTACAGACCTCAGGATGAAAGTTAGCTTCACTGGAGGACTATTCTGATATGGTTTTCTGAAGATAAACCTTTAAATATTTAGGGATCACATGTTATTCTAAATATGAATAAAATTCATTTGTGGCTCTGTTCAAACTGTATCACATATCCACAGAATCATGGCATCTCAAAGATCTGTACATGCTAGGAAATAATGATTTTGTATTTCACCTAGGTAAGACTGAGATGGAACACTATACCTATGTGTGAAAAGTTATAAATTCACTCTTGAGACTCCAGGGCTTTTTCAGAGCTAGACTGAGGTTTGCATTAGTGCACACATCCTGAGGCTTTGCTCCCTTGGCGTCGCTCTAGTCATAAGATCCACACGGAGCCACAAATCCATTTGGGCTGAAAATTTTGCTGGAGGTCTCCTAGAAAAACTTCCTGGGTGAAGTGGGGCCGGCACTGGATTCAGAGCTGGCTTTTTCCACAGCCCTGGGCCACTTATTCCCATGCTTAGTTTTGCTCATTGAAATTGTTATTTTTCTGTATTCAAGTCAGAAGCTGCTATTTCATGACCACCGTTGTCACTCTTTCATAATGCACCACAGTAAAGGATTTTTTTCCATCTTGCAGGTAACCACCTCATAGGTACCAGGGGAAGCTGTCAGGTCCATCTGAAGCTCTCTTCTCCGGGCTAAACATGCCCCTTTCCTCACAGGGCAAGTGCTCCAGTCCCCAGCCATCTCCATAGCTCTGATAATCAGATGAAAAGATTGATTAAAATTGCTTTACTTCTGCACAAGGAGTTATTATAAGAACTACAGAGTTCCTGTGTGATCATGATTGCTGAGGAACTTGTTATTGAATAGTATTTAAAAATACTGAAATGTATGAATGCCAAATTGATGCTGGAATGAAGGGGACTGGGGTGATTTCACTTTGTAGACTGATTTCAGTGAATTAAACAATGCTGTCACATTGGTTAAGAGACAAGTGGTCTATCAGTGACTCACTTCTGAAACCTGTTGAAAAAAATCTCACATGGGTACGTTGCAGCAAATCTTAAGATACATGTTTCTGGCTAAGTCTACTGTTCACAGGGGATGCCTGGTCATTCCTCTCGCTCTGAAGAGAAGCTTCATGCAAACTTTAAGTGCAACTGGACCAAGCACTGGACCAAGACCCCAGATTCTGTGTCTTACTCCCTGAAGAAAACTTGGAGTGTCATATAATATATCACGAGTGTCAGTAGCACTGGTTCTGATGTCAGACTCGAGTTTCCCCTTCTCTTGTCCTTTTGTGCAGCTCAGTGTTTCAAGCTGTGTGAACTCAGCTGCTTGTCTCTTCTGCTCCTTCAAAGCCCTGCTCCCGTGGCTGCTCAGTTCTGTGCATGGAAGCGAAGCTTTGAAATCGATTCTGTGTGACCACAGCATTCAAGTAATGAGTATTTAAAATGAAGATATGAGACCACTGGGGAAAAGAACAAAAGGATGGGCTGAGGAGGGAAACATTCTTCTGTTTGAAATGTCAAGGCTTAAAATACTGCTCCCAAGGAATTTCAGGGAGCTTTGAGCCCAGTCAGGAGCTGCCTGCTTGTCCTGCTTCAGGCATTTTGTCATCAGAGAGCTATGGCCTGCTTAGAATGGGGACATTTTTTCCTTTTTTGAATGTTCCTTAACACTGCTTGTTTGGAAATCCTGATTTATTTCTTTTAAATCATTAAAACATACAATTGTATAAATCCTGAGTGTATATTCATCAAGTTGAACCTAAACTTATGTAGTCTGTTGAAGAGATGAGATGTTCACATATCTGATGGGTACACACAGACCTTAACATATTGAATAAGTGTCTTTTTCACTGGCCATAACAAAGTTTTTATGCTCCCTGCCCACTCCCTCCAAAATTTTCTGATGAATGCATTGTGTGTTATTCCTTATGGCTTTTAACATTGAAATTACTGCAATTTAATTAAAACAATTAATATTCATGTAGTAATAAATAGTAGGAGCGATTTTGTGAACAAAATTGGTTTGCAAGTACCCTTTGTGCATACAAATGGTTTAATTTAAATAAATACTATAATTAATGCCTTATAGCATAACTCAGGAAATGTTTGCAGAGCTCTGTGTTGTGTAGCACTTTTGAACAACAGAGCTCCAGGCACCTGCAAACATGCAAAGAAACAGGGATGAGGGGGACAAACAATATAGCCACTGAACTCTTTTCTCCCATTTAATCTTAAAAAATAGAAATAATTATAATTAAAAGCAGGATACAAGAATGAAAGCAAGGTAAAGATGGAAAACTGAAAGACATAAATCACACAGCTGTGACAAAAGAGATTCGACTGAAATTCTTGTGAGGAGGTGCTGAGTTTGAATCCTCACACTTGTCACCGTTTCATTACATTATTTTTAGTGAGAAGCTCAATATGAAGCCTTCACTGGATGACAAAAGTCACTGTCTCCCTGCAGATCTATAATTCTAAGCTCTCAGGTGTGGAAAAACAACTGACATGCACAAGGACATCATGTCACTGCATCAAGATGGGAGAGCACTTTAAGTATTTGTGTTGTGCTGTGGCTTCTCCATAAAGAACATGTTGTCAACATCAAAATTATTCCCAGTTAAAGCTCCATCTACATTTTTTTTTGTTTGAAAGCATTCCTCTTCATTAAAATTATTAGTAAGTAGCATTTGGGCTTGGGGGTGGAGCAGGTGAACCTGTTTTCAGGAGCATTCTTAATATCTCTCAAGATGGTCATTCCAGTCGTAGCCTATTCTCTTTCTTTCCTCCTTTTTCCCTTCCCTATCCATTTGCTTATTTCTCCATTTCTCATGCATCATGCCTAGACTTTCAGAGCAGACTGGATTGGACCCACTCTATATGTCCACACTGTTTCTCTAGGAGCACTTAGTCACCATTCAAAATATAGAAGCAATATTGCAGGTTTTTTCAAGCAGACATTTCCACTGCATCAGAATAAGTCCTAAAATGTCAAAGCTAGAGTAAAGGATAAGCACTGTTATACTGCATGGATCCAAAAGGTATCCCTTTTTCCCTAGGAATCTGAAACACCTGTACCTTGTCCAAATCCTGATTATACCCAGCAGCTTGTCCTAAATTGCAAGCAGCACAGATGTAGAGAATTTGCTCCTACTGCTGTGTGAGCTCTCCTGTGGGCAGAGGCTGCAGAATACTGAAGTAGGGGAATTCTCTTCCTGCATGTTGCACCCCATGTTGAGATTGTGTTGGTCTTCAACCAAGATTGAAAATTTTAAGAATCAAGATATGAACAATTAAAAGCCAGTCTAATCTGCAGTCTAGCAGCTAGAATATTTATATTTGGAATAGGCTAGACTTCTGCTCCTTCCTCTTTGGTCTTCATCTAATACTAAAAGGCTATGTTTGTTAGACAGAGGACAGAAATCCTGATTAGCTCATGTTGTCTGCCTCTTTTGATAACAGGTATAAATAAGCCTTGCATCAGGGTAGACTGAGAGTGTTATGCCCAAAATTTTACATGCAGTTAGCCACTCATCAGTCTCAGAGATGGAATTTCAATTGGATGCTTTGTTCAAAGAGTTACTGAAAATGTGGCTTAATCTTTACTCTTTATTCTTATATCCTCCAAAGGCCATATCTTTATTCTGCTTTATTATTATTTTTTATTATTTAGATTGAAAATCTGTATTCCTATGTAGAAAGACAGCATATTCTAAATATGCACCAAGTATTGTAGATTTTTTTCCTGCAGATGCAAAAGGGATTGTGGAAGAGATACTCCCATAAAAGTGCATAGATTAAGCATAAAGGCAACTAAATAATTATTGACTTACAACAAAATATATTTTAAAGCCTATTCATTCATCTTTCCAGGAGGTTTATTGACTTTGGGTTTGATTTGACTTATTATTGGTATTTTTGGCTTAATTGTAGTCTACTGATTTTAACCCTTGTTAAAAAAACAATTCTTGCCTTGTGAAACTTTTTCTGTTTTTCAAGGTACTTCTCTTGTGTGATGATAAATGTGCCATGAAGATGGGGCATTTGAGGACAATACTTTAGAGAACTGGAGTATAGACACAGAAGCAAAGTATAGAAGAATGCACTGGTAGCAGAAGAAAACTGGGGTTAGCATAGAAATGGGATTCATTTCCTAAGAAGCTGCTCATTAGAAAGCTTGTGTGGTTTTAATGCTTGAAAAGTTTTGAAGCAATTTTTAGGTTGTGGCTCTTCCCTCAAGGCAAGGCTTATTTTTAAAACATCAATGTGATATTACTAATAGATTTCAGGCCAAATGAAAATATCATGTCTATTTCTTTCTGAAAATTCTGATGCATCTCTTCATTTGTATTTTGTCTCATTAAGAAATTTACTGGCCCAAGGAGAACTGCCAAGGTTTTATTTGTGTGAACTGGGTTTTTTTCCTCTTCAGTAAAGTGGCTTAGCAAAACCCAGTAAATTGCTATCTAATTTTGTTTCTTTATCCCTTTGCAGTTTTCAGCTGTATTTCTGGAAAGTGTTGCTTCGGGACAATAGGATTCTGCCATGGTTTTGGTTCAAGTTTAACTGAAATTACATTGTCTCTTCAGTACAAAAGGAACGTCTGTTATTGGTCTTGCACAGTATAAAAGGTGTTTAGCAAGAGAAAGAGTAATTTCAACTATCGTCATACAAAAGTGTTTATGTGGATGTCCTGGAAAACTCTTTTGGCTGTTTACTCAATCAGCTTCAAAGTAGTTGCTTGATTTTTACCCACTCTGTCCGAGAAATACAAAAAATCTATTGTATACAAATCAAAGCAGAGACCCTGCACTGGCAGAAGCTGAAGCACAAGAAGTTCCTCCTGAATATGATGAAGAACTCCCGTCAGTGCAGGCAACTGAGCGCTGGCACAGATTGCCCAGAGAGGTTGTAGAGAATCATCTGGACACAATCCTGTGCCATGGTCTCTAGAATGACCCTGCTTGAGCAGGAAGGGTGGGCCAGATGACCCTCTTCTGTGTGTGACCCTTTGTATGGTACAGGAACCAGATAGCTAGTGGGCAGCTCATTCAAAACATTCCTCTGAAGCAATGGATTAAGCCAAATACTTCATTTTTAAGAATCTGGAGCAAGAGGGTAAAACCAGAGCAAAAATATCTGAGAGGAGATAAGAGCTGAGCATTTCAAGCAGCGAGTCAATGGTACTATTTGAGAAGACATTAACCAAAGAGGAGGAAACAGGCATCAAAGCTGTAACACACAGACAAAATTGATTGGGTGCTCCCCACAGATCAGATAAGCTCATCCCATTAACCCCATTTTTCTGTAGTAGCAGCAGTGAAGGCCCTGGCAGTGAGAATAAAGGTTAATATTTCCATAAAGCTGTAGCAGTGAACTTCCTCCTCTCCAGAAGAGGTAGCTTGGCCTGATGCAGTCTTGTTAAGCTCTGAGTCCCAGTATAACCTATTCTTGGTCCTGGTCTCAGCTACAGCAACCATATCTGTGGAACCTGTGCCCCAAAGCACTACCCAAGGTGGTTGCAGCAGCACTCATTCTTTGTTCTAACCATTTGCCTGAAGTGGCCCCTGATTTCCGTGCTCCCCACTACCCTCAAGAGAAAATTTACTAGTGATTTGGAGTCTGAGGAACTTCTCCAGACCCCCTTAGAGTCAACAGTTTCTTAAACCCTTTCTTCATTCATCAGCTATGTAATGTCTACTCTGCTAGGTTCAAGGACACTTTTCTCCAACATCTATTTATTGATTTTTCAGGAATTCTTGCTTTCAGGCTTCCTTCAGTCACTTTCTGCTGCAGGAAGGAAGCACTGAATAGGAGAAGGCTAGCCATTGATTTGTTTAAATCAATTGTTCTGGGTCTTGCAATGTTTCTCTTTTGAAGTCTTTGTCTTTTCTTCATACCTTTCACATTTGATAATGACAGGTTTTGAATTTCCCTGTTCTTATGTAATATTTTGTGTAGGAGTCCTTTAGTTTCCTGGAGATCATGACTTTCTTATACTTCTTTCTGAAGGGTTAAATTCTCAATTAATCTTTCCAAATTTTCTTTATTACAGAATTCTCTATTTGCTTGAGACTCATAGTTTTATTTATTAATGATAGATACAACTGTTGTATTAGTGCTTCCACCGAAATGTTACAAGAATGGTCTAGTGAACATTGAGATTCTATTACACTGAGAAGGTAATAACAAAAGTTGTTGAAGCACTTAAACTAAGCATTATGAAAGTAATATAGACATTATGGATGAAGTGATTGTTTTTCTTGTTATGTTATTTTTTTAAGCTCTACCCTTAACACTTGAATATGCCTCCTAGGATTTCGAAGAGATTATTCAAAACCTCATTTTACACAGTTACCACCTTTTTGCATAAAGCAGCATAAATATATTCTCAATAAAATTTAAAATAGATTGACTATTGCAATTATAACCATATAATTGTGTAATGTGCTATATAACAAACAATTACTTAACTGTGCAGAACAAGATGAGACAATGTGGTTTCTAAAGACAGAGGCATTGACTTGATTTCAGTGTTATTTAAGTATTTCATTTCTCCCTGAAAACAACAATGTTCCAATAGTTCTTAGTGGACTCTACTATTGTAGAAGAGTTAAAAAAACCACATTTATTTTAGAGGGTAGAGGATTTGCAGTTGCTCTCTGAGGTCTGCATGTTATGCCCAGGTGTGAATGTTCCCTCTCTAAGGGAATCCTCTTTTGAGGCTTCTATTGCCCTATGATCCCTCTTGTGTGAAAAGAAGATTGCATGAAAACAGCCTGGAGCTATCAGGAGGAGATTCCACCTTTAAGTGCTTTCCTACTGCAGGTGTTTCGTACTTGGAATCCAGTGATGGAGCAGGGGGTGAGGAGGGACACCTAGAAATGGGTTAATATGGTTTTTTTTGTGTGTGTGTGTGTAGATGCTGAATCTGATAGCTGTCTTAGCAGAGTTATGCATAAAACACCTAAGGCAAATCCCTGTCTGGTTTTATCCCTGTAACACAGGACATCAGTCCACCAGAGCAACTTTGTTACAATTAGGGTCATCCTGGTATCCCATACTGTGATTCATTAAGGGAAAGATGGGGAGGGGGAAAAGAAAGGAGCACATTAATTCTTATTTATCACTCATCCAGGGACTGTGATCTCTACAATGAGGCACATGTCTTGAAATTAAGTTCTATCCCTTCTTCATCAAGCAATATAATTTATTTCCCTCTAGAACCCATGTTACTATCCAGCAAATTCCAAGCAACTAAAGTAGATTCCCATTATATCAGATTGGTTTCAGATATTCCAATTGTGAGATGTGGCAAATGAAAGGTGACTATTAGCATTACATTTGCATTTTAATTAGTGGATAATTAGTGCTCTTTAGTGTTCATATTAATGCAATTTAGAAAATAACTTACAGATGATAATTAAAGAAAATGTGTTTATTCAGTTTTTATCTAGCACTCTATAAAAAATCAAAGGGATTTTTATAGCAAAAAGTGAACTAGAAGGAATCATTCATATTTTTATTCTCTTCTTATCATTGTCATGTTCAATTCCATTCATTAAACAATAGCTGTTAAGTTCTATCTTTAACACTACTTTTTCCCATTGTAAAGCTGCTTCATTCCTCTGATGGTTTGAAATCTTTTCTCATTTCAAGTCTAAATGTATTCATGACTGCTTTATAATCATTTATTCTTGTGCCAGTACTGCCTCTGAGTTAAAGAAGTTCCAGTGTCTCTGCATTTATTCTTTCTTCCCCCACCCTACATATTATTAGATAGGAGTCTTATCCACCCTCATCATTCTTATAGTTTAGCATAGCAGGCCAAATCTCTGCTAGTCCCTTCCAACAGCTCAAGTCTTTAATCCTCTGCCAGTCCAGGAAAAGTACACTGCATCTGCCTGATCTGCAGTATTTCCATTGTGAGCCAGGTATTTTTTAACATATGGAAATGAAAACATCTGTCTTGTAGATGAGGCCTGGTAGAAAAATGTATATGAAACTGAAGACTATAGTATATTTCTTTCCTGCTGACTTTTTTACCAAGTTAGCTTGTTTTCTATATCTGTGTAAATTATAGGTTAAAATTTTCTTGCATCATTTGTCTTATATCTCTATAGTTCTAACAATACTAGAAGACTCTTTGAGGACCAGCATACAATTTTGTTGATATGTTGTGTCATGTCTGTCCTATTTTGCCTTCTTTGCAAGTTGTCATTACAGAATGATTAATTCAGGTTCCTTGTTTCTACCTCAGAGCTGATGCTTTTATTTCCACTCCCTCAAGGAGTCTATAACATTTTCTCCTAGGGAAAAAAAAAAAAGCTTTGACAGAGGCTTCTTAATGAAATGGTTGTGACTCAAATAAAAATCTGCTTTGGCTGTGTTATTCTTTATTTTACCTCATGTCTCATTATATCATTAATGCTGGTTATATAATGCATTTTTACCTACATTTCTTCATTTCCACAAGAGATTGTGTCCTTTGGCTCACCTCCTTCTCTCTTCCACTAGGTTTTATTTACCTCTGCAACACCACTTTTTATGTTCTAAATCAATGGCTTGAGTTGCTCCTTGCAATAGTATCCTGGGAGCCCTCCCAGACCCAGTTTGCTTGAAGGACTAGTTACAGCCATTTAATTTACACCACTGTCTCTCTGGGCACTGATCTCACCCATATGGGTACCTTCTGCTCTTTTCAGCTCTTTTCTGTTCTTTTCTCATTAGAAGTCTGAATCAAAACCCAGGGATCCTCCTTCCCTAGCTGAAGGGAGTGATAATAACAGTGACATAAAATGAGAACTAGGCACAAGCACAGATGGAAATTTGCTGTAAGAATAACCATTGTGATTAATCTGCATTTCAAAATTTGTTTCCTCCCCCCATCCCCTGTCATTTAATTCCTTCCTCCCCCCACTCCTGTGGCAAAGTCACCAAAGGGCTGCAGGTTACACACGGATGTTTTACTTTTCTACACCTTTAAACTATTGTAGTAAAAAGGGTGATCAATAGTTCACTTACAAATAGTTTGGAGGAGAGAAGAAGGTTTGACTGCTTGTGAGGCAGACAGCTCATCTCATGCAATGAGGCTGAACAACTTCTGTTTGATGATCGTCACGGTTGGGTGAAGTGGAGCAGGGAGGGAATAAATGTCTTTGAAATTAGATTGCAAAACTACAGGGCGAAAATGCTGCCTTGAATTTTTAACCAGCCAAAGATCTGGTTAACCAGAATTATGGCTTTATTTAATTTGATAGCTACTTCTCTAATTTGCACTTAAAATGCTATGGTCCAGCCCTTTTTGAGAGGGGTCTGTTCTGAGGCTGCACAGCCCTGCACAGGTACCACTAAGGGCAATTTTGCCTGCCTCCTCTGCCTCTCCCAGCTTACAGTGAGTGCAGTTATCTCTGCACAAGACAGGAGTAGGGGGAGGTCTCTGGCAACATCTGAATTCATTCACAGCATCCTAAGACACCTAATTCTGAGACACTCTCAAGCACTTGTGTTGTCAGATTCTTCAAAAGGGGCAAATTCACAGTCAGAATAGACTGTGCCTAAACTTTAGAGGCAAGCAGAAAGGCCCTCAAAGGTCAGGGTAGATATAACCACTGAATTTTAATGGAAAGGCTTCCTTACTGGGCTATGGATTGACAGCCCAAAGGCTTTACAAGAGCTCTGTTTGCTTCAGCAAAATCTAAAAATGCACTCGAATTCATTGTTGAAGTAGGACTTTTAGATTCAGACAATAAAACTAAAAAGCAGGATATAAGGCAAATTTCATGAAATTTGCTTCCAACTAAAATGCATCTATCCTATTTCTCAGATGGAAGCAGTCAGTTAATTTGCTTCTGCTGCTGTTTTAACAGATGAATTACAAATGTGTTTGATTTTCACAGTAACT